GGGGGGGGGGGGGGGGGGGGGGGGGGGGGGGGGTATGATATAATACAGCCTGACTATCAGGCAAGAGAATCCTCTTGAAAGACGTGCAGGTCTTAGATTAACCCATAATATCTAATGATCCGCACACTACGACAAAAACCAAGTCGTTGGTACCCAAAGCTTCCATCTCTTACGTAAAAACAGACACCGTCATGGTTATTTACTATCTAAGTGTCCCTCCGTATTATAGTGAAGCCAGAGATGCTGACTACATTATCACTTTCTCTTTAGAGATGGACCGGCGCGCAACGTGGGAGGGGGGGATAGGGGTTGGGGGGTGGGATCGTTCTCGCGTTCCGCGTTTCAACCAGTTGCAAAAATGTTGAGACACTCCCACGAAAAGAAGACCTTTCTTGCTTCAAATCGCTCCTGGTCACAGGTCTGTGAGATATAACACTGACCTCCATCCTTACTCCCATTCAAAGTTGTTGCTCCAAGTTTTGAGTATGGTCTTGTATTGCTAGCAACTTTGATAAGGGGAGGAGGGGGGATCCAAGCACAAGATCATGGACAGGCCATTTATGCCAAAATACGATACAGTGTCTCAAGTACTTTTGCAACTGGTTGTTGCTCACGAGCCCTCGCCAAATAAGACGAAAAAACTTCTGTGGAAAGATTATAAGAGTTTTTCCATATTAACGACCTTGGCTGTGTTAGTGTGGGTAGCGCCATTGTTCGGAGCTGCATGTCTTTTAGTGGTGCCATAACTGGTCTACCGTAATCTCTTAACCCACCCCTCCTGGCTTATGATCATTGCCTCCATATGATGTTCTTCTACTTATAAACTACCTGCATTCACATCGTCCCAGAGAATGCACCAGTTGTTTTGTTTGTTTGTTTGTTTGTTTTAACGTAGCAGACCACGTGAGGATTTTAACGGTAATTTTGCATTGTGTTTCATTTGTTTTCATTGAAGGTATGACCCGTCAGAAACGCCATTCAGTGTCTTCAAAATCATCATGCACAAATAGTCAGAGAGCACGTTTAGAGTATTGCCTGGATATGCAAAGAAATATAGAGTCATACAGTTGCGACTGGTCCACCAGTAATTGCTACTACATCCTTTCTTGCACTAGGGACTCTGGCAGTGGGCATAGGTGCAGCTATTCCGGTCACGTGACCAGGAGCTATTGCTGTTACTATAGATGTGCTTAAATAAGTTGTAAGGAAAATAAAGCTTGCCAATAACCTGTTCTTAGAACCCGGAAGAGGCCGAGTTTCCGAAATTAAGAATAATTTCGGAATTTTTTTGATATGCTTAGAGATTGCTTAGCTCTTAGAGAATTCTCATTATATTGCATTTTTGTCTTTACACGTCTAATATAATATATTGCCTTTTTGATTATTCAGTCATGGCGGGGATGAGTTTGTATAAATAAGACAAGCTTTAATAAAGTTATCTGGATAAAACTGTGTTTTATACGTGGGAAAGTAAAAATTCACTTATGCTACAATTGATTTGATCATTTCTATATTATGAATATATAGAAATATTTACTCCTCATACCAGCGTCCACAAAACGTGGACGGTGGTATGTGAACTTTTGTTGCAGCCATGAAACGGGGTAACAACAAAATACTCCAAATTATCTGGTACCCCGTTTCGGGGAGTTAGGTTTAAAACCCAAAAAAGCTGTCCCGTCGAAACGACGGGTTAATGTATTAGAAAAACTAACTTAAAGAGATAAAAGTATAATATAAGCAGCAAATATGTTGGAGAAAAAGTTTGCTAATGAAGATTTAGGAATAGAAATGAATTCTTATATTGATAATAAGCAAAATGTTTGGTTCCGAGGAAAGGATGTTGCTCAGATACTTGGATATAGAGATACTGACGATGCTGTCAGAAGGCATGTATCTACAGAAAACAAAATGATCCATCTTGTACACCCCAATTGTTGCCCCGGTAAAACGCCGGGTCAACAAAATGACACTAGAGGGAAATATTATATATTTATCAATGAGCCCGGCTTTTATGAACTTGTATTTAGTTCTAAATTAGAGTTTGCTAAAAAGTTCCGCCAGTGGGTATTTAGTACAGTTCTTCCATCTATTCGTAAATATGGTCAATACAAACTGTTTGATAGCCCCTGGAATAAGATGATAATGATTGGTAATGAAACCGACCTTCATTATAAAGTTGTGGACCTCATAAGGAGATATTATCCAGATTCTATATTAGTAGCCGGACTGGGAGAGAATCAAGATACAGAGGATAAGAGACTAGATTCATATAAAAAGGGATATACAAAAGGCCAACCAGATTTAATGATACTTGATTATCACAAAGATTATAAAGGTCTCTGTATTGAATTTAAATCACCAACTAATAATTATAATATATCAGAAGCTCAACTGAAGATGAAAGAGAAGTATCGTAATAATGATTATGCATTTATGCTTAGTAATGATTATGATAAGATAAGCAAAAATATTCATAAATATATGGCTGGTGTTCGTATTCCTTGTAAATATTGCACAAGAGCATTTCGTAATAAAGAAAAACTAAAAATACATTATAAAGTTATTCATAGAATTGAGAAAAAACATCTAATTTCTATATTACATATATAGAAATTAAAGCGTGCCGCCAAAACGGTGGGGCCTCGTTTACATAAACGTTCTTTTATATTTCTTAACAAATCTATCTGCTATAGGAGTCTGATCAATTATCATTTCATCTATGCGATCAATAAACTCTTGTTTGTTAAACTCATCACCCCTTAGAGCTGAACGCAGTTCAACCAATACTTTTTCATACGTAGTAAATGCAATCCTACTCATGTCAATTTTTCCCTTGAGATTTTTTTTCTTTCCAACACCAGCAACTATAATCCCAGCACCATTAATAATTCCAATAATAACAGGGTTTAGGGTTATTCCACCAACAATTGTTCCTATAGCTACAAGACTTATTCCAGAGATTGTAAAAACATCATCAAGAAATTTATAACTATTATAAGACCTCTTGAAACACCAGTATTTTTTGTGATAGTGACTATAAAAGTCTTTGAGAGTTTTAATATCAGATTCTGACAGAGAGTTGTCTATGTGATTAAATTCAAATATATCCTTCATTTATTCTTTTGTTTACATTAGTGCGGCGTAGCCAAGGGAGGGGGTCATAGGGGAAACCGTTGGTTCCCCTATACTATATAAGATCCACTTAACTTTTCTTGAAGCACTACTTTGTGAAATTGCTCAGAGTCAAAGTCGTAAAAGTTTGGAGAAAGCATTAATTTATTTAACACTCCATCTTCAGTCGTAAACTTCCAACGTTGATTAATGTTGTATTGAACGGCTGGTATAGTTAATGTTGAGCTGTAGTTACTTATTTTAACTTTTGCGACATTAGTATCAAAATTTTCTGTTAGCCATAAAACAATTTTTTTTCCATCAAAACTACTTGGCATGGTAAAATTTTGAGATGTATTATTGACATGTAAGTTTAGTGAATCGTTTGATTTAACATAATACAAAACTAATAAAGTATTATTGTTTGTTGATAAATATTTACTTAGGGTAAAATTTATATTTCTCCAATGTTTAAAAACAATACATAAAGTAGTTTTTGAAGAATGAGAAGGAGAAAAAGTAATATTATAACCATTTACATTTAAGCCATCTTCTCTTACATTACCTAGGTCTTTATTGGGTAGTGTAATATTAGATTTTAAAGAATTAATAATGACCCCAGATGAGCCTATATTTATTCCGTAAATATTTGCATCAGAAAAGTCATAGTATTCTTCAAAATATTTTCTGTACAAAGCATTTGTGGTGTAAGGAATTAACTCCTTTACCATTGCAACTGTTGCAGCACTATTGTTACTGTTCCTATCGAGAGCAATGTTTAATGTTTTTTTATTATTTGTGTTGATGTCAACATTGTACACCACTTGTGTTGGGTGGATGTCAAATGCTGTGTCATAGTCGTAGGTTTTATCTGGGTCGATATTACTCGTTGTTCCCACAATTCCATAAGATATCATATAAACTCCTGAAAACTGTCTCGGATAAATAGCCAGATCAGTTCCTGCTTGTGGTATATTAACCAGAATATGAAGAAAGAATTTATTACCAGAGTTTAGTTTTTTGAAATTAACTATTATTCTATGATAGTACATAAACTCTACTTTATTTGATGAGGTTGTGTATCTGTGTGAGAGTTTCCTCACACCAACATTTCAGGCGCGGATCTAGGGGGAGGGAGCAGGGGGTGCGCCCCACCCCCCCCCCCTTCCCCTGAGATGACCTGCGGTTTTCTAATACAACTGGTATTCTTCTTCCATCTCTTACGTAAAAACAGACACCGTCATGGTTATTTACTATCTAAGTGTCCCTCCGTATTATAGTGAAGCCAGAGATGCTGACTACATTATCACTTTCTCTTTAGAGATGGACCGGCGCGCAACGTGGGAGGGGGGGATAGGGGTTGGGGGGTGGGATCGTTCTCGCGTTCCGCGTTTCAACCAGTTGCAAAAATGTTGAGACACTCCCACGAAAAGAAGACCTTTCTTGCTTCAAATCGCTCCTGGTCACAGGTCTGTGAGATATAACACTGACCTCCATCCTTACTCCCATTCAAAGTTGTTGCTCCAAGTTTTGAGTATGGTCTTGTATTGCTAGCAACTTTGATAAGGGGAGGAGGGGGGATCCAAGCACAAGATCATGGACAGGCCATTTATGCCAAAATACGATACAGTGTCTCAAGTACTTTTGCAACTGGTTGTTGCTCACGAGCCCTCGCCAAATAAGACGAAAAAACTTCTGTGGAAAGATTATAAGAGTTTTTCCATATTAACGACCTTGGCTGTGTTAGTGTGGGTAGCGCCATTGTTCGGAGCTGCATGTCTTTTAGTGGTGCCATAACTGGTCTACCGTAATCTCTTAACCCACCCCTCCTGGCTTATGATCATTGCCTCCATATGATGTTCTTCTACTTATAAACTACCTGCATTCACATCGTCCCAGAGAATGCACCAGTTGTTTTGTTTGTTTGTTTGTTTGTTTTAACGTAGCAGACCACGTGAGGATTTTAACGGTAATTTTGCATTGTGTTTCATTTGTTTTCATTGAAGGTATGACCCGTCAGAAACGCCATTCAGTGTCTTCAAAATCATCATGCACAAATAGTCAGAGAGCACGTTTAGAGTATTGCCTGGATATGCAAAGAAATATAGAGTCATACAGTTGCGACTGGTCCACCAGTAATTGCTACTACATCCTTTCTTGCACTAGGGACTCTGGCAGTGGGCATAGGTGCAGCTATTCCGGTCACGTGACCAGGAGCTATTGCTGTTACTATAGATGTGCTTAAATAAGTTGTAAGGAAAATAAAGCTTGCCAATAACCTGTTCTTAGAACCCGGAAGAGGCCGAGTTTCCGAAATTAAGAATAATTTCGGAATTTTTTTGATATGCTTAGAGATTGCTTAGCTCTTAGAGAATTCTCATTATATTGCATTTTTGTCTTTACACGTCTAATATAATATATTGCCTTTTTGATTATTCAGTCATGGCGGGGATGAGTTTGTATAAATAAGACAAGCTTTAATAAAGTTATCTGGATAAAACTGTGTTTTATACGTGGGAAAGTAAAAATTCACTTATGCTACAATTGATTTGATCATTTCTATATTATGAATATATAGAAATATTTACTCCTCATACCAGCGTCCACAAAACGTGGACGGTGGTATGTGAACTTTTGTTGCAGCCATGAAACGGGGTAACAACAAAATACGCCAAATTATCTGGTACCCCGTTTCGGGGAGTTAGGTTTAAAACCCAAAAAAGCTGTCCCGTCGAAACGACGGGTTAATGTATTAGAAAAACTAACTTAAAGAGATAAAAGTATAATATAAGCAGCAAATATGTTGGAGAAAAAGTTTGCTAATGAAGATTTAGGAATAGAAATGAATTCTTATATTGATAATAAGCAAAATGTTTGGTTCCGAGGAAAGGATGTTGCTCAGATACTTGGATATAGAGATACTGACGATGCTGTCAGAAGGCATGTATCTACAGAAAACAAAATGATCCATCTTGTACACCCCAATTGTTGCCCCGGTAAAACGCCGGGTCAACAAAATGACACTAGAGGGAAATATTATATATTTATCAATGAGCCCGGCTTTTATGAACTTGTATTTAGTTCTAAATTAGAGTTTGCTAAAAAGTTCCGCCAGTGGGTATTTAGTACAGTTCTTCCATCTATTCGTAAATATGGTCAATACAAACTGTTTGATAGCCCCTGGAATAAGATGATAATGATTGGTAATGAAACCGACCTTCATTATAAAGTTGTGGACCTCATAAGGAGATATTATCCAGATTCTATATTAGTAGCCGGACTGGGAGAGAATCAAGATACAGAGGATAAGAGACTAGATTCATATAAAAAGGGATATACAAAAGGCCAACCAGATTTAATGATACTTGATTATCACAAAGATTATAAAGGTCTCTGTATTGAATTTAAATCACCAACTAATAATTATAATATATCAGAAGCTCAACTGAAGATGAAAGAGAAGTATCGTAATAATGATTATGCATTTATGCTTAGTAATGATTATGATAAGATAAGCAAAAATATTCATAAATATATGGCTGGTGTTCGTATTCCTTGTAAATATTGCACAAGAGCATTTCGTAATAAAGAAAAACTAAAAATACATTATAAAGTTATTCATAGAATTGAGAAAAAACATCTAATTTCTATATTACATATATAGAAATTAAAGCGTGCCGCCAAAACGGTGGGGCCTCGTTTACATAAACGTTCTTTTATATTTCTTAACAAATCTATCTGCTATAGGAGTCTGATCAATTATCATTTCATCTATGCGATCAATAAACTCTTGTTTGTTAAACTCATCACCCCTTAGAGCTGAACGCAGTTCAACCAATACTTTTTCATACGTAGTAAATGCAATCCTACTCATGTCAATTTTTCCCTTGAGATTTTTTTTCTTTCCAACACCAGCAACTATAATCCCAGCACCATTAATAATTCCAATAATAACAGGGTTTAGGGTTATTCCACCAACAATTGTTCCTATAGCTACAAGACTTATTCCAGAGATTGTAAAAACATCATCAAGAAATTTATAACTATTATAAGACCTCTTGAAACACCAGTATTTTTTGTGATAGTGACTATAAAAGTCTTTGAGAGTTTTAATATCAGATTCTGACAGAGAGTTGTCTATGTGATTAAATTCAAATATATCCTTCATTTATTCTTTTGTTTACATTAGTGCGGCGTAGCCAAGGGAGGGGGTCATAGGGGAAACCGTTGGTTCCCCTATACTATATAAGATCCACTTAACTTTTCTTGAAGCACTACTTTGTGAAATTGCTCAGAGTCAAAGTCGTAAAAGTTTGGAGAAAGCATTAATTTATTTAACACTCCATCTTCAGTCGTAAACTTCCAACGTTGATTAATGTTGTATTGAACGGCTGGTATAGTTAATGTTGAGCTGTAGTTACTTATTTTAACTTTTGCGACATTAGTATCAAAATTTTCTGTTAGCCATAAAACAATTTTTTTTCCATCAAAACTACTTGGCATGGTAAAATTTTGAGATGTATTATTGACATGTAAGTTTAGTGAATCGTTTGATTTAACATAATACAAAACTAATAAAGTATTATTGTTTGTTGATAAATATTTACTTAGGGTAAAATTTATATTTCTCCAATGTTTAAAAACAATACATAAAGTAGTTTTTGAAGAATGAGAAGGAGAAAAAGTAATATTATAACCATTTACATTTAAGCCATCTTCTCTTACATTACCTAGGTCTTTATTGGGTAGTGTAATATTAGATTTTAAAGAATTAATAATGACCCCAGATGAGCCTATATTTATTCCGTAAATATTTGCATCAGAAAAGTCATAGTATTCTTCAAAATATTTTCTGTACAAAGCATTTGTGGTGTAAGGAATTAACTCCTTTACCATTGCAACTGTTGCAGCACTATTGTTACTGTTCCTATCGAGAGCAATGTTTAATGTTTTTTTATTATTTGTGTTGATGTCAACATTGTACACCACTTGTGTTGGGTGGATGTCAAATGCTGTGTCATAGTCGTAGGTTTTATCTGGGTCGATATTACTCGTTGTTCCCACAATTCCATAAGATATCATATAAACTCCTGAAAACTGTCTCGGATAAATAGCCAGATCAGTTCCTGCTTGTGGTATATTAACCAGAATATGAAGAAAGAATTTATTACCAGAGTTTAGTTTTTTGAAATTAACTATTATTCTATGATAGTACATAAACTCTACTTTATTTGATGAGGTTGTGTATCTGTGTGAGAGTTTCCTCACACCAACATTTCAGGCGCGGATCTAGGGGGAGGGAGCAGGGGGTGCGCACCCCCCCCCCCCTTCCCCTGAGATGACCTGCGGTTTTCTAATACAACTGGTATTCTGCAAAAAAAAAAAAAAAAAAACTA